AAGTAAAATTGCTACCAACTTCTCTCACTTCTAATGCTACACTACTGGCTATAATATGTGGTTCATGTTAGCCATCATTACGGAATATGGTAGTTAAATTATAAAATCACTCAGATACAATAACTGAATTAAGAACAATTCTAAAAACCAATGTAGCAAGTAGTTTAATTAATTTGACTTGAGAAAAAGGGGAGGGTAAGAACTATTTATGAGAACATAAATGGCTAGGGTGAAGTCCACATGCTATAAAGAGACAGAAAGATGTAGAAAAAAAAAAACACAACTGAAAGCTAAAAGGTGTTCATATTTATCCAAGCTTATATAGAGAATAGAAAGATTTATAGCTGATAAACTACTAACCTAGATGAGTACACGTAAACAGAGTCACATACCTGAAGTGTGTCAGCAAAAAGCACAATGAGGTTCTTCAAATCTAATACAAGGTTTGGATCAGAGCAGTAAGACTACAAAAGACAAAGAGGGAGAAATACCTCATTTATTAAAACATACAACTAAATTAAAACAAAACAAACAAACAAACAAAAAACTCACTTAATTGTTTAAAGTATCACCTGGTGAAGCTTCCCTAAAAGGGTCCAACCCTTTTCTGGTATAAGGTTAACACCAGTTTCAGCCAGAGAAGAGCCCAGAAGAGAAAGTGTGTAAGTTTTCAACACTTGAAAATTTAAAACTATATTTCTAAATACCTCTTCAGTTAAAGAAGAAACCAAAATTGATACTACAGAATATTTTTTCTTATAAGGTTTTTGCCATAGGGCATGTGCACTCACCAGAGAGGAGACAGAGAAAGACAGCAAGAGGGGAACTGAGAAATAGCTCCCTGCCACCACCACCACCACCCCAGGGAAGGGGGGTTGACTATGCCGCAATCCCTTCTCTCCTATTCTCCTAGGATTTTGGAAATGCACACACATGAACCTGGCATGATTTTCAAGCCGCCAGGTCCAAGACTGGAACTGTGGTTGGTCATGTGAGAGTCCAGCTCCCTAACTACCACGCCATCTGCTGGCCCCCAGAATTATTATGTTTTTAACTGCCAGAGGGCAAGTGTGCTAGCCAGAAACACACAAATAAAAAGAGGAAGAAAGTTCCCTCCCCCAGGACATGGTCACACTTCAATTTCTTCTCTTCCATTTCTCCATACTTTCAGGATTTGGGGGCACATGAGCACACATGCCCACAGTAATTTTCAAGTCTTTGGGGAATGGACCCGAACCATGGTCAGTCATGTGGGATCCAGCTTCCCTTAACTACCAAATACTAAAAATTATTTTTAAATGAATAACAATGGAATATCAAAATCTATGGTATGTGGCTAAAGCCATTTCAATCCAAATTTATATCTTTATATGAAAATATCAGAAAATACAAAAGATTGAAATTTAATTAATCAATGAACTCATGAAACTAGTAAGAAAAAGTCAAATAAACTATAAGTATGTGAGAAAGTGAAACTGATAAAATTAAAAAGATAAATTAATGACATGGAAAAGATATGAAAGTTTAAAACCTAAAGCCCTAGTGAAAAATGAAATCAGTAAAACAGAAAAATCTTAGCCAAGACTGATTAAATGATCAATGTTAAATGCTTAACATTACAAGGAAGGGTCCAGCAGGTGGCATGGTGGTTAAGGCATGAGACTCCCACATGGTCTACTACAATTCAAATCCTGGACCTGGCAGCTTGAAAATCACATGCATGCATGCCCAAAATCTCAAGAGAAGAACAGAAGAGAAGGGATTGTAGTGTGGCCATCCTCCCTTGGGGTTGATTTCTCACTTTCCCTCTCTCTGTCTCTCTCCAGCTAGTACAAACACCCTATTTCAAAAACAAAAACAAATTACAATGAATAAAAAAGAAAATAAACATAAATATAGAGAAAAATTAAAATTACAAATAATGTCCATGTATAAACTCATTTATAAAAATATAAAAAAGCTTAAGTTTTTGTAGAATACAAAACATTTCAGTTCATTATTTTATCTTTTTATATTTTATTTACTATCATCATCATTATTATTTTTAATTTACTATAGGGCATGTGTGTCCACCAGAGAGAGAGAGAGAAAGTGAGCTACCAAGTCTAGGATGTGAACAGTTGGCCATGTGGGAGTCCAGCACCTTAATCACCATGCCACTTGCTGGCTCCCAGTTCACTATTTTAAATGTTCACTGACTATGATATTCAAATTGTCCCAATTATAATTTTGTTACATGTTTTCTCTATATGACAATGTTCATGAGTTTCTCCTACTACAACAGTTTTTATTTTATATATTTCAATGTTTCCTTGACCCTTGTAGAAGAGCTGTTGTCTTTTTGGTGAATAAAACTAATATTAATACAAAGTATTCTTCCCTTTTCCCATTTGAACTTCTTTTTGTTTATTTATTTATCTATTTATGCATTGCCACTAGCCACATGCACATGTGGAAGGGATGGGGAGCGAGGGAAAATGAGAAACCACCCCCCACATGGGGAACAGTCATGCACCAATCCCATCTCTGTTTCTCCCTCTTTGGGGGATTTTGGACATGCACACACACTTATCCAGCATGTTTTTCAAGCTACCGGATCTGGGACTCACATCACACAGTAGGTCACATGGGAACCAGATGCCTTAACACCAAGCCACCAGCTGGCCTCTCTACTGGAAGTTCTTTAAATATGCTTCTACTAGCCTTATAATATATGCCATTTCAACTTCTTTTTTTTTTTTTTAATCTTTTTAGGGAATTTTAATTTGCAAATGTCTCCTAGTAACCATACCATAAAACTGACTAGCTCTTTGACATTTCCTAGGAATACGGACATATATGGACTTATTCATCTTAAGTTTACCACAAATAGTGATTGCTTTTAGTTTTTTAATTTCCTTCCACAGAATTATTAAATAAGTCTCTTTAATTATCCCTTGGTGCATATTTAACAAGTATATCCTTTCTGCCACTATTTACTTGAAATAATCAGGAGTATTCATTTTTAAAAAAAAAAATCTTTTTTTTCAAGAAAAGGGTAAGTTCCAGGGGCTTTTTATTGTTTGAATCACAGAACACAAAGAACCAGGCTGAGAAGCCCCCAAAGAAATGATGGTCATGTTTCACTGTTATTTTTGCCCTTTGATCCTTCATCTTCTAAAAACTTACAATAGTTTCTTTTAATGATATTAGACATTTATTCTGATCGCAAATGCAATCCAAGTGTGAATAAATAAATGTATTATCTTTTACACACACACACACACACACACACACACACACACCCGCCCCAATGCTCTGTTAAACAGAAAAAGTTGCTAAATGTCTCTTCATAGACTATTTGGCTGCAGTTGTCACACCTACGGTTTTTTGTTTTTGACTTTTGTTTTTTGTTTTTTGGTCTTTTTTGGGAGAGGTTTTTGCTATAGGGCACGTGAGCTCACCAGACAGACAGAGAAAGACAGAGAGATAGAAAGCGAGAAATCACCCCCCAGGGGGGATGGCCACGCAGTAATCCCTTCTCCTCCATTCTCCTCTCGTGATCTTGGGCACGCATGCATACGCACCCGGCTTGAGTTTTAAGCCACCGGGTCCAGGACATGAACCGCGGTCGACTACATGGAAGTCCAGCGACAGCCATTACACTAACTGCTGGTCCCCCACCTATGGTTTTGAAAACAGACTGTAACTTGATTTTCTGAGATCCATCTTGAACTATCATTAATTCCATTAAAGAAATTCTGGGAAAGAAGTCCTACTGATATTGTTGATAATCTCCAAAAGGTGAGGAAAGTAACTGGGTAGAAGGCAACTAGGAGAGGTCTTCAGCAAACTGGGGACCATTGGGAAACTGTGCAAAGGCAAACCTTGTCAACAAGATACCAACTCCTTCAATTAAAGCTAAAAGAATGCCACCCATCACAGATGACCCAACCATGGCCACTGGTCCATTTCTTGCTGTCAGAATGGCTCCTGTTAAGGCGCCACTTGTGATGGAGTTCCATGGATCTTCTTTTCCTCTGACTTGGACCATGCTAGTCAGTCATAGAAAACAGACCTCCCCAAACTGCAAAACAATCTCTCAACTGTGGAGCTCTTGTTTTAATAGCTGTCAAGCTCCCTCAAAGTCTGTGATTTACTCCCACTGGAGAATTGGGAAAACCTTTGATTGCTTGAAAGACACCACCACCTATGATACCCATCGTAAAAGCCCTCCACAGTCGTCCACAAATCACCAAGAGCAGGGCTCTCGTGTGTGCTCCTCCATCTTGGCTCCAGTGGCGCGAGCCTAAAACATTCTGAATATGACTATTCTCTCTCTCCTTTTGTAATAAATTATTAATAGCATTAAACATTATAAGTAATCAAATGGTTATTTTTATTTATCTATAAATTCTATTCTTGTTTGTACACATTTTATTACATCTTAGCCCATTTTATATTTTGGATTTATTTTTCGTTTTTAAAGAAGACTAACAAGAATTTTTTTTTTAATTTGTGATAGGGTGTGTATGCTCACCAGAAAGACAGAAAGAGAGACAGAGAGAAGGAAAATGAGAAATCACACCCCACCCCCCAAAAGAGGAGATGACCACACCACAGCCCCCTCTCTCACATTCTCCTCGGGATTTTGTGAAGGCACGCACATGCTCCCAGTGTATTATCCAAGCTGCTGGGTCTGGGACTCAAACTGTGCAGTCAGCTACGTGGGATCCAGTTGCCTTAAGCACCACACTATCTGGTTGGACCAACTAACATGAATGTTTTAAAGATACGACAGATAAATTGTGAATCTTCACATTTTGGGATATCTTTATTGAAATAATTGGTAGGAATTCGTTATATGTTCTATATTAGTTCTTTCCTAATTATATATAAGATACTTTTTTGCACTATGTGGCTTGTTTTTCCACTATCTCCTGTGAGACTTTTTCCTTTCAGTTTTAATGTAGTTTAGTGTTAAATATATGTGTATTTTCCTTATAGTTAGTACTTTCTGATTCTTAGGTAAAATTTCCTTCCACATCCCGAATCATGAATATTTTGGCTTATATTATCTTCTAAAAGATTTATGGTTTTGGGCTTTATATTTCCATATTTTATCTACCTGAAATTCATATTTGGTGTATATTTTCCCCCCATAAACTTAGTCAATTGTCCCACCACTATTCATTGAAAAATCTGTCCTCTCCCTACTAATTTGCAATGCAACTTCTTCACATACACACACACACACACTCCACATTCAGACCATTGTTTAAAAGGTCAAACAGATCCTAAATAATATGACCCCTACCTATTTCTCCACTCCTACTTTCTACAGTACCTGCCTAGCTTTGTATGCACTATCTACTGTAAACTTCCTTCAATTTTCTATGTTACAAAGAAATGTGGTATTATCTGTTGAAAATATTTAGTAGTTTTATCAACTGTATTAGGGAGAAATGTTCACCTGTTGAAATATCCATTTTGTAAGACAAATAATAATGTGATTGAATGTATAAAAGAAAATGAAAATTAATTAATTAATTAAAAAAATTTCTAATAGGGTTATGATCTCCGTGATTTTAGATTTTGCACATGGCATTTACACTGTCTGAAATATCTGCTAATGAATTAGGTTAAAAGAGCTGAACTCGTGGACAACTTTAAAGTTTCTAACACAGCCATTTACTTCTTAAATGCTAAATCGTCTTCGTTTATTGACTCCTCACTATTGTTCTTTGAACTCTTCAGACATAAAAACCTTTCCAATATTATTTCTTACACTTACAATGATCCTTCCATCAATCTTTGCATAAATGGTTACTGATGTTGGAATGCCACTTCTGATCTACCAATCAAACTCAAACACCCTGCTGCGCCAATCTATCACAACCTATTTCAATTGTTTGTATTACATTAGCATTGCCTGATACTATTATTTACTTACTTACTGTGTGTTATGTGAAAATATAACTCTGAGAGTAAAAATCTTATCTGTCTTGTTCATTATTGTATCCCCACTGCCAACATGTAATCAGTATACAAGAAATACTGGATGAATGAATGAATAATATTTTGGGGGGGAGAGATTATTACTATAGGGTATGTGTGCTTGCTGGAGACACAAAGAGATACAGAGAGATAGAAAATGAGAAATCACTCCCCAGAGGGGATGACCACATTGCAATCCCTTCTCCTCATTCTTCTCTCAGGATTTTGGGTACATGTGCACAAGCACCCAGACTGAGTTTCAAGCCTCTGGGTCTGGGACTCAAACTGTAGTCAGCCCTGTAGGAGTCCAGCAACATAACCATTATGCCATCTGCTGATCCCTGAGTGAATAATTTATTAAGAGCCAGAATTCTCTATGTGAAATAAATTAATTATCACCAAAATTAGTACTATGTTAAAATATATTTTTTAAAAAATCATGGGAACTTGATAATTAGGCAACTCAAAATGTTATACACATTTTTTCCCCAAAAAAACTATAGTGAAACCATGAATGCTAAGTCACTGTTAAAAATATTAGTAAGTATTAAAGAAGGCAATGTGGAGTAATGTTTAAGAACATGGGATCCTGGAGCCAGTAGGGGGTGTGGTGGTTACGGGCACTGGACTCCCACATAGCTGACCGTGGTTCGAGTTCTTGGCTTGGTGGCTTGCTTTCTTATTTTCTCTTCCTCTCTGTCTCTCTCTCTCTCTCTCTCTCTCTCTGACCCTCTCTGGTCAAGTTTAAATAAATAAATAAATACATTTAAATGATTCTTAAAAAAAAAAAAAAGCATGGGCTCCAGCTTTTGACTATCTAGATTTAAATCCAAACTCTACCTCTTATTGTGTGACATGAAGTTGTTGCCTGAACTATGAGATTCATTTCCCCAGATTGTTAAGTTACATATAATAATACCTACCATTATATAGTTGCAGTTAGAATAAAAATAAGACAGTATATATGAGGTACACAGAATGATGTCTGACTGTGAGACCGCATTTAAGAGATAGTAGCTGCTGCTTTCTTGCAAAGCACATCCACAAAAGCGAGCTCAGTGTTAGAGAATATGGCAATTTCAAGGGGCCACTTCCATTTGTCTTTGAAGGACATAAACAGCTTCAAATGGGTGATTCCAAAACCATACATATGTTGATTACAAGGCAGTAAAATACCAGATAGCATATGGACAATCAGCTTTAAGTTCTCTTACATACCGAGTGGGTACGGAGTGCTGCGATGGTTTTTGAAAGTGCCATTTCCCACAGTTCATCAATGTAGGCTCTATTTACCAAGCCCTGGGTTGTATGTAAAATGTGATCTTCAACCACAAAAAAGCTAAGATTGAGGAAAAAGAAAGCACAGCTGTCAGAAATTACAGTTTGATGTTCATCTCTACAGTCTGACATACATTAAGAGCTGCCTTCAAATTCAAAATTAATAGTCACTTTTTTCTTAGAGAAAGCTTTTCAGTATCATAAATAAAATCTGGCTTCTTTGACCAAGAATCATGTCCATAATCATGATATTTTCTTAACCACTTTACGGAGATTGGATTTATATTTCTATTAAATGCCATGCTATCCAACACTTTAGAAGGGAGGGAAATGGAGGCGAACCACCCTCCACTAAAAGTGCGGTTAAAAAACACTAGGCCACCTATATTTCCAAAAACTAAGAGATTTTAAAGAAACAATGAAAACTGAAACATATATATCAATATTTTAGGAACCCAACACACCAAGTATCAAAGCAATTCTTCTTATGTGAATTCTCTCATCAAAGTGTTGAGAAGTACTTCGTAAATTTTTTTAAAGGGCAAACTTATTTTTGAATATTTTTGTGGCTTTTTCTCATTTTGCATTTAAAATATATTTTTAGCTATCTTGCCTAAATGCTCATATTAACGAAAATTACTTTCTTTCTTCCTTCCTTTCTTTCTTTCTTCCTTTATTCCTTTCTTTCTCTCTTTCTAAGAGGTTTTTGTCTTAGGGCGCATTCATTTGCTGGAGAGACACACAGACACAGGGTGAGGAAAAGTGAGAAATCACCCCTCTGGGGGTTAGGGGAAAAATCACTCCACAATCCCTTCTCCTTCATTCTCCTCCCAGAATCTTGCAAATAAACATACACATGCACAAGTGCCCAGCATGATTTTCAAGCCACCTGGGTCTGGGATTCAAACTGTAGTCAGTCGTGAGGGAGTCCAGCAACGTAACCTCTATGCCATCTGCTAGTTCCACTAGAACAATTCTTTATTGGGAAATTTTTATAGTATATATGAATCAAAAGTATTAATTACATAAAAACAATCTAAATGTGAAAAATAAAAAAAAAATCTTGATGGAGGAATCCAACTTATTTCCCTTTCTTTAACTGTGGAGTCATTATTTTATAACTATAATAATTGTAACTAGAATAAGCTGCCTATACTTTATTTAAGGTTTTTATTTGGGAACTGCAATTCCATACAACTATAGATTCTCTAGATGGGAGTGTCAGACAGAGCCACCATGGGATAAACCTGGCTCCCTGCCTATTTTCAAGAAGACGGTTTTACTGGAACAAAGTCACACTCACTCATTTTTATATTACCCACAACTACAAAAACAAAGTTGAATATTTGTGACAGAGACCTTATGGTCACTAAATCTAAAACTCTTAACGATCTGGTGCTTTTAGAATGTGTTTGCTGACGATTTGGTTTCATCAGCTTGCTAATTATTTCGTTGCATCTTACTGAAAATAGAGAAATCTATTCTATTGTAATCAAATAGAGTAAGATTACAATTCAATGTCTTTCTCCCTTTATCCACAAAATGTGCCCTTCCACAACATAATGCTGAAACCAGTAAGACACTCCTCTTAAATAATCAGAAAATCAAAAATAAATCTTGTCTAAAATATTTTAAAAGGAAAAGAAGAATTTCTTAAGAAATCCAGATTCATTTCTCTATGTCCCACAAATCTACGTATTGAAAGTACATAAACTTAACTAAATATATTTACCTACCCTACAATTTGATTGAAATACTTCCTGTATCCGTCTAAAGTTTCATGCTGCAACAAAGCAAAGAAGAAAACGTTATTTTTTTCTCTTTTATTACATTAAGACAAAGTTAAGGCCAGTTACTTAATCTCTTAACGCTCAGTTCCCTAGGCAAAGAAATACAATAATAGTACTTGCTTTACAGGATTACAATGAGGATGATAAGAAATAATACACATCTATTAGAGTAGAGTCATCCCTCAGTATACATGGCAGATGGGTTCCAAGAAACCCCTCCCTCAGGACAACAACGTCATGGATGCTCAAGTCCCCCATGCAAAGTAGCACAGTATCTGTATACAACCTCGCACATCCTCCCATGTACTTCAGATCATCTCTTGACTGCTTATACTACCTAATACAATGTAAATGTTATAAAAATAGTTGTTACACTGTATTTTTTTAATTTATCTTTTTATTGTTGTACTGTCATTCTTACTGTTTTTCCCAATATTTTTGATCTGTGATTGGTTGAACCTATTGTTAAAGAAAGCTGACTAGCACAATGCCTGACACAACAGATGTTAGTTGCTGCAAGTCACATTCACCAAAAATAGCCTCACAATAAGTGCATACTCACACAAACACACACCTCCATGTAAACAAAATAATCAAACAATACCAAAGAATAAAAGAGAAAAAGAGGGGGAAAGTGAAGTTTGTACTCTCACCATGTTGGATGGAGGCTGGAGAACCAAACGAGCCTGTTTTCGCCTCTGCTTTCGGTAGTAGTTCTCAAATGTTTCCCGGGCACCCTGTAAAATAAACAAAAGGCAATGGGTTGACATGATTAGTCATATATTTCAAGAGAAAAGAAAGGGTCCCAGGTCTGGAATATGAGGCAGCACCACATTTCCTAAATCTGCTATTTTAACAATGATAATAATCATAGAATATAAAAATAACTATTACTTATTGAACCTTACTTATAAATTGTAAGGGTGGATACAAAAGATCTGTACAAGGTTACCACCAGAACTTAGTTACCAACACACCACAGCTGATTTCTGAGTCAGCTATGACAAATTCACAAAAATGAAGGCAACCCGACCTTCCCACAGGTTATAATGACAGATGAGAAAATATACCTTAAAACTCACAGAATATTCCAAAAGAAAAATGTCCAGAACGAAGACCAGTCTTTATATGAATGATGAGCAAAATGCCAATGGAAGAAGGAGAAAGAAAGGAACTAAGAACAGTAAGTCTGTCTTCCCAGATGGAAAACACTCAGCCCAGAATTAAACCCAAAAAAGGAGTATCAAAGCTCTGGAAATTCTTGGTGCAGTTTCCATTTTTCATTTTGGTTTCTTGGCTTAAAATGAGAGGTGGTTGGTGACAGCAGGTAGCATAGCACTTAAGGTGCTGGACTTTCACGTGGCCCACTACAGTTCAAGTCCTGAACCAAGTGGCTTGAAACTCACACTGAGTGCATGTCATGCATGCCCAAATCCCGCGAGGAGAATGGAGACGAGACTGTGGCATGGCCATCCCCCCTGGGGTGAGTGATTTCTCACTTTCTCTCTCTGTCTCTCAAGCAAGCACAGACACCCCTATAGCAAAACTCTATCTCTCAAAAAAAAAAAAAAAAAAGAGAGAGAGAGAGCTAGAGAGGTGCTCTCAAGAATAGTATATGGCTTGGGGACCAGCAGTTAGCGTAATGGCTATGTCACTGGACTCCCACGTAGTCAACCGCAGTTCGCATCCTGGACCCGGTGGCTTAAAACTCACACAGGGCGCGTGTGCGTGCATGCCCAAGATCCCGAGAGGAGAACGGAGGAGAAGGGACTGCCGTGTGGCCATCCCCCCTGGGGGGTGATTTCTCGCTTTCTGTCTCTCTGTCTCTCTCTGTCTGTCTGGCGAGCGCACCTGCCCTATAGCAAAAATATCTCAAAAAAAAAAAAAAAAAAAGAAGAAGAATATCTGGCTTGAGAGCTCAGTACTGGATTGAATAGAGTCCCTTCCTCAACACTCTACCATAGTCATGTACTTTCAGGAACCTCCGAATGTAGCGGTAACCTTATTTAGAAATAGGATCACAGCCCATATAATTAAATTAAGATGAAGGTCATACTCGGGTTGGATAGGCTCTTAGTGCAGCAATGACTGTCATCTTTACAAAAAGTGGAAAAAGACACAGAGATAGAGACACATAAGGAGAACAAGATGTGATGACAGAGGCAAAGACAACTGATGCAGCTGCAAGCCAAGAAACACCAGGGATGGTTGGTCACCAGCATAAGCTAAAAAGAGGCAAAGAAGCATTCCGGTCTCAGAGAGCACATGGCCCTCTGATACCTTGATTTTGAACTTCCAGCCTACAAAATTAGGACAGAACACATTTCTGTTGTTTTAGCCACACAGTTAGTGGTACTTTGTTATAGTGACTCTAGGAAACTAATACAAGATCAAGGTTTTTAACATATCATGCCATGAGGCCAGTAGGTGGCATGGTGGGTAAGGCACTGAACTCCCACATGGCTGACCGTGGTTCAAGTCCTGGACCAGGCAGCTTGAAAATCATGCTAGGCACATGTGTATGTGTGTGCCAAAATCCAAAAGGAGAATGGAGAAGAGACTGTGGAATGGCCATCCCCTTTAGGAGGTGATTTCTTTTTTATTTTTTTTCACATTATTTATTATTTGTTTTTTGTATATACTTTCAATCATATTGTTTGGCTTACAATGAGACCATTTTGATATGTGCACATTTCTCCCCAGACCCATTGATCAAAATATCTTTAACAGATAACACCACACCTCCCCCATCCGGTCTAGGGGGTGATTTCTAACTTTACTTCTCACTGTCTCTCTCTGTCTCTCTCTAGTGAGCACACATGCCCTATGACAAAAAGCTAAAAAAGAAAAAATAAATGCCCCAGCTATTACTACATTCTACTCTTAATGCAAGGCTTTTCTCAATAAGCAAGAGTAGAAAGAGAAAGACAACATACCACAGTGGTAAGGAGCACTTATTTTGGGACCAGATGATTACACTCAAGTTGTAACTCTGCCCCTTACTACTGTATAACTATGAGTAGCTATATTTCTTCAATAGAATAAAATATTCCCTCGCTAGAATAAAAACAAAAGTTCAATTTAGATAATAGGCATTTTGGCTTCCCCATTTACATAAATGAGTTAAATTTTCCTTAGTGACTGCTAAATAAATTCACCTTTGATTATTCTATTCCCTCTGCCAATTTTATCAACTCAAATGCTTAAAGGTGAAATTTGAGATGTTTGATCAGTCTGGTTGAGTAATTCGTAAAGTGTCTGACTATTCACAAATAGACTACTAGATAAACTACAGAAGTTCCATTTCAGCTCCAAGCTTTCTTAATCACTAACATAAAAGTCAAAGGTAGGGGCAAGCAGGTGGCATGATGGTTGAGGCACTGGACTCTCACATGGCAGACTGTGGTTTGAGTCCCAGACCTGGTGGCTTGCTTTCTCACTATCCCTCTCTCTCTCTATCTCTCTCTGTTCAAAATAAAATAGTAACAATAATAATGAATAAAATTAAATAATTCTTTCAAAAAATCAAAGGAAAACAAATATCCTTAAAAGCTGCTGAAGACAAGAAAATAGGCAAGTAAAAGGTTATTTTTCCCCATGTTATATCATTAGTATTGCACCACTCCAAAGTTTTTATATCATTAATACACACAATATCACAGAAAAAAAAAACTGACTTAATATATTAAGTACTTACCATGTGATAGGCACTGAGAATGAACTCTATTTTCATTAATTTATTGTCTACAGTGGAAGGCTGGCAATTACAATGCAATTATTTAAATGAACTACAGAATTCTAAGGATTGAAGTGGTATGTATGTTTGAGCCAGAAAGAGAGTATGTGTGTGTAGAGTGGGTAGGGGAGATGTCAGAGAAATAGTCCCAGAAAAAGAAAACATTTATAATCCTAAATGACTCAGAAAAGTAAGAATGACTCTGAAAAGTAAGCCAGGTAAAAAGAGAGAGAGAAAAAAATGTTTCTCGTATAGGCAAACAGGTCCAAAGAAAAGAAATATTTCACACACCCCATGAATTTAAAAGAAACTTTCTACAGCTGCAACTTGAGGGTGTAAGGTGCAGGGTTGACAAAAGATGAGGGTGGAGGACTTATGAGTTTGGAAATCATAATAGAGAGTATAATAAAGAAAAAAATGGATTTAAAAAAATCAGTGAGAATCTTGAGACATATTTAGAAGGTATAAGCTGGTAACCAATTTTACGGATGATAAAGGATGGGAAGGAAAAGAGGCTGATATGAAGTTTCTAACCTGGGTAACTGGTTAAATGGCATTGTTATTTAATGAGAGGGAACATCAGAGGAAGAATATAGAGTGGCTCTTCATTATTCACAGATTCTATACTTGCACATTTGCTTATTCAGTAAAATGTATTTGTAATCCCAAAATCAATACATGTAACACTTTCATGGTCATTCACATACATGTGCTTAACAGCAAAAATATTGAGCTGTTCGATGCACATGTGCCCAGTTAAGGTCATACAAGGCCATGCTCTCCCTTCTTGTTTCAGTTTTCATACTGTAAACAAGTATCATTTTCACAGTCCATCCAGTGCCACGTTTTTTGAATTTTTGTGCTTTCTATTGGTGATTTTGCTGTTGAAAAGGGCCCCAATCAGAGTACCGAAGTGCTGTCTAGTGTTCCTAAGCTCAAGAAAGCTGTGATGTGTATGACAGAAAAAACACAGATGTCAGATAAGCTTCATTCAGACATGAGTATAGCACTGTTGGCTATGAATTCAATGTGAATGAATCGACAGTATTATATTAAATAAGATATCTTTAAACAGAAATACTCATAAACTAAAGTGATCATTGATCCATTCATGAAAATGTGGCCAAAAGCTCACAGGAAATGAATCCTGTATTTTTCCTAGGAGCAATGATTCAGTATTCAGCAACTCTCTCTGCAGTGACTTTATAGAATATAACTACCATAAACAATAAGAATTGACTATATTTGAGAAGAATGATGATAATAACCTCTGTATTAGACATATTTATTGATAACTTCAGAGTGCCAAGTGTTTGGGAGCTGGCACATTTGGATCTACAGCTCAGAAGCATAGCTAGGCTAAAGATAATTTCAGAAATATTAGCATACAGATAGTAATTGAAGCCCTAAGAGAAAAGGAAATAAGTTAAGAAATGCCTGTAGAGGGATCAGCAGATGGTATAATGGTTATGTCACTGGACTCTCACATGGTCAAGTGCAGTTCAGGTCCAGGACCTAGTGGCTTCAAACTCACCATGCGTGCCGAAAATCCCAAGAAGAGAATGGAGGAGACAGGATTGTGGCATGGCCATCTCCCCAGGGGTGATTTCTTGCTTTTTGCCTCTCTGGTGAGGACACCCACCCTATAGCAAAAATCTCTCCCTAAAAGAAAGAAAGAAAGAGAAAGAGAGAGAGAGGGAGGGAGGGCTAGAGAGAGAGAGAGAGAGAGAGCATGCGAGAGAGAGTGAGAGAGAGAAAGAAAGAAGAGAAAGAGAGAACATGAGAGAGAGAAAGAAAGAAGAAAGGAAGAAGAAAAAAGGAAGGAAGGAAGGAAGGAAGGAAGGAAGGAAGGAAGGAAGGAAGGAAGGAAGGAAGGAAGGAAAAGAAAAGAAAAGAAAAGAAAAGAAAAGAAAAGAAAAGAAAAGAAAAGAAAAGAAAAGAAAAGAAAAGAAAAGAAAAAGAAAAGAAAAGAAAAAAGAAAAAAGAAAGAAAGGCCTGTGA